ATGTATGTGTATATATTCACATATGCATAAATCCTACTCCTGAAACACTAAGCCATGTATAGGTAGTCCTCGCTTAACGACCACAGTTCGGACCAGAATTTAGGTCACTGAGTAATGTGGACATTAAGCAGATTATCACGTGACCGCTTTACTTAGCAATCACAATCCTGGCACTCTCAGCTGCCGTGGTTTATCAAGAATCATGGGTCGTTAAGTGGACAGAGTCCCAGGTAAGGAGTGTGGGCCACATGCAAGTTGGGGGGGGGGGGTGCTGCAGCACGGCGCAAAGTCACAGCTGTCCCTGGAAGCCTCAGTCGCCCCAGCCTGGCCCAGTAGTGCTTACGACTGCAAGGGTGCTGCAACTGCCCCCCCCCACCTATCTCCCTCCCCATCTATGCCCTTTTGGCCACCCTGCTCAGCGGTACTTGGCGGCAGCACCGGGGCTGAGGCTGGAATAGAGGCCCGAGGCCTTCTCAGCCAGCTGCCATTGCCCCCAGGCTCAACTTCAGCCCCAATGTCGCCTCAAACCCAATACCACTGGCCTTCACTGCTTCGCGCCGTTCCCTAAGCCACACCTCTTGTTCCTTTCCTAAAGCTGTCATCCTGTTCTTTCCCAAAGCCATGCGTCCCATTCCTTCTGCAAGCGGCGCCTCTTGTTCCTTCCTTAAAGCCAGCATCCCATTCTTGCAAGACCTAGGGAAGGCCAGAAGGTTTCCAAAGGATCGTGAGAATGGGACACTGGCTTGCAGAAGGTATGAGATGCACAGCTTGGGAAGGAACAGGACAACGGGATGCTGGCTCTTAGGGAAGGAACGAGAGGCACAGCTTGCAGAAGGTATGGGACATGTGTCTTTGGGAAGGAATGGGCAATGGCACACTGGCTTTGGGAAGGAATGGGACGATGGCCTAGGGGTGGTGGCAGCTGGCTGAGACTGCTGAAGCCTCAGGCCTCTACTTCAGCCCCAGTCCTGGTGCTGCCACCGCCGAGTGCCACTGTGCAATGCAGCTGAAAGGGCATAGTTGGGGGAGAGTTAGGTGGGTGGGGGGAGTTGCAGCGCCCCTGTGGTTATACATGCGGGCGGGCTGCCAAGCACCTGAATTTTGATCACATGACTGTGGGGGCCCCACAACGGCCATATCTTCAGGCATGGATCGTAAGTCCATTTTTTTAGTGCTGTCATAATTTTGAACAGTCACTGAATGAATGGTTGTTAAGTGAGGACTACCTATAATTCAGATTACAGCATCCAGGAAGCAGAGAGCTATCATAAGTATAGTGATTCCTATTAAAGCCTTAATGAATACAGTTCAATGAAGAATTGAATAAAACATTTAGATCTCTCAGATACATGACATACTGTAGTATGGAAGGAAGGAAATGCAGCGATAGAAATGCCCACATCCATTCTCCAACTTCTGCCTTTAAAGGCTCCGCCCTTGCTGATCTGTTGGATTGGCTCTTTAAAAAGGTGTCCAAATGGTAGGGATTCATAGCATTGTGAAGAGAAAAGGCTGCAATGGCTGAGAAGATGTGATGGCAGAGTGGTGGCTGTGCAAGTAGGGCAGTGTCAGCAGTGGAGAGCGGTGACATCCATACAGTATCTCTGAAGACTTTGACAGATTCCTCCAAGTAGCCCAGGCACTGGACTAAGTGGTCCAGACTACTAGCGCTGGAAAGGTGGCCCAGACTTGTAGAAATTCAACAGTCCTGGCATCCAGAGAGGTGCCCCAGGATGCTAGCCACCCCCAACCCACACCCTTTAAAGGTCCAGAGCACCAAGAGCTTCAGGAAGCAGGCCTAAGGACACTGTACCAGGACTAGAATGGCACCTACATAAGAAAGGAGACTGCCACATTCCCAGTGTATAAGCTTACAGCTGGCCCAAGCTCTAGGCTCCATGTTCTACCATACAAATGATGGACGCAGTACTCCATATGTACACATACCATAGACTATATAAAGGCATTTCAGTGTTGGCAGTTTTATTTTCAACCACTTTATTAATAATCCGTAGCGTGGAATTGCTTTTTTTGCAACTGCTGCATGCTGAATCAACTGCTTCATTTTGCTATCATTATGACCCCAAGGTTTTTTTTTCTGGTTTTCCTGAGGCAGCTCAGACCCAGCAGTGACCATTGGGAGGCCAGGTGGGGGTGGGTGACTGAAACAGCATCATGGCACTGCAAAGCAAGCCACACACCTTTTGTCCACATTTACAAAAAGGGCAGTTTGACACTTTACACATGCACAAAGGGCTTGCGCCATGATGCTATAACAGGCACCAATGTTCAGACCCTCTTTCTGTATACATGTAGTTAGGGTTTTTTGTCCTTCATATACATCATTTAAGTTTACTTAAATTGAACTATATCTGCCATTTGGTAGATCATTCATCTACCAAATCCTTCTAGAGTACACTTGCTTTTAGTTTTCAACACCCTGAATCATTTGGTATTGTCTGCCAATTTGCCTAGCACACTGCTTAAGCCAGGATTGTTAATGAACAACATAAAAACTATTGAGGAACTCTGCTTTTTATCTTCATTGTGCAAATCATCCATTTATTCCTATTCTTTGCTTTATGTTTTTTAACCAGTTAGCAATCCCATGAACACTAGGTTTATTCAGGAATCTTGGTGAGGGATTTGTCAAAAGGTTTTGGAAAATCCACATATGCAGTGTCAACAATGCCACTTCCATCCATGTAGCTTGGTTAATCATTTCTTACAGTGTGGAATACATTTTAGTTGACCATAGATTATTATGTTCTTAAATAGCCTTCAGGCATTAGGGATAGATTTGGTCCTCATGACTTCTCTTTTAGTCTCATTTTCATCAGCTCCCTCATATTTGAGACTGTGTTGAACCCTGCTGGCAGTTTCCAAATTGTGTGCATGCTAAAGTAATAGCATTAAAATTATTGCTTCCAGTTGGTTCCACAACAACTGATTAGATCTAGTGACCAGATCATGGTCACTAGAGGTTTAATTCTAGAGTTTCCTCATCTCTGGTCAGTTTTAGGGTTACCCATTCTAAGACATAGTCTTACAACAACTGATCAGACCTACTTTCACAACAACTGATCAGATCTAGTGACTGGATCATAGTCGCTATTTAGGATTAATTCTAGAGTTTCCTCATCTCTGGTCAGTTTTAAGGTTACCTATTCTAAGTGATAGTCATTTAGGGTACCTAGACATTTGGTTTCTTTGTAATTGCTTGAGCTTGAATGTCCCAAGTCCATGTGAGGGTAATTGAAGTTCCCCATTACAATAATTTCTGATTCACAAGCCTCCCTGATTTGACTTTCTTAACATCATCTTTAGCACTTTGGTCAGATGGGCAATAACATTTCCCTAGGTTTAATTTACTTTTATTGCCAAATATTACCACCCAGAGTAATTCTGAGGAAGAGTCCAGTCTTCCAATGTTTTCTCACCTTATACTTCTTTAGTATGCAGAACAATGTCTTCCTCATTGTACCCTTTCTTGTCCTTTTTGTTGAGTATATATATCCAAGAATTACTATATACAACAGATTCTCTCCATTCCACCAGGTTTCTGTTATACCCACTAAATCTATGTTCTCATCCACAGTCAAGTACTCTAACTCCATTGTTTCATCCACACTGAGAACCCTGAGTAATATCTGGCCATAAAATTGCTACAGTGACAGTCCTGGATCTTAATCTCAACAGCTTCAATTTGGCTTCTCAGATTGCCCAACTACATTTCACAATGTTTTTAGTGGTAGTGTGGGCTGTGACTGTGGCCTCCTTCCTAGCACTATGTAGTAACTTATCTAAATGGAACATGACATGTGCAACCTTCACACTGTGCAATCTACACATCATTACAAGCCCATCTCTGCATTTCTATCAGTCAAATTGCTCATAGTTAAAAGTACTCTGACTTCCAAAAAAGTATTCATGGTATAAGAGTATGTGGATTCATCATCCAAAAGTTGGGTCCCTCTTACAGATACAGATACAGTATTTGCTTCATCTTCAATATTATGTCCACCTTCCCCAAGATTCTCATTCTCCCTTACAGGAAGGAAGCTACCATCCTGGGTGTAGGATGAAATTCTCACATCCTCAAAGGCCTTATCTGTGAACCTCTCTGCTTCTCTAAGCATCTCTAGCTCAGCCACCTTGGTTTCAAGGGAACAAACCTGTTTCCTGACAGCCAGGAACTTGTTGCAATGAGGACATACCCACAATTTATGCCCCACATGCAGACAGTTATACATTTGACACTGTGCAATAAGCTGGAAAACATCCTCTCTCCAGCTGGCCTTCTACCTTAAGACTATTTGTTGTTAGTAAATTTGATTATCGGTGTCTTTAGGAACTGTTTGACCTAAAAACTAGCCTCTATGTTATATTTTTACAGACTTTGAAATCATAGCCTTCCCCCTCAGTTATTAAATTCACCTTGATGCTTAATCTCTAGAGGTGGGAGATCAGCTTGTTTCTCCTCCTGCTCCTCTCCCTCACAGGACCTCACACAAAGCTCCTTTATTCTTGTTTGCTGTCCTGTTCACTCACCAGGGTCTCAAGCTCTCAGCTGCTTGTTCTCATTCTGAGACTGAGTTGGCATGATCAATTACATTACACTAAGTTTACCCAAAACAAAGTTTTCATAATGCTCTGTCCAACATTTAGTATATGCTACACTTCTTGCTTTTATTTGTAATTGTGGGGGGAAATTGGAGTGCCACATATGCTGCCTTGAGCTCCTGGAGGAAACATGGGCAATAAATCTAAATACATGCAGTCCTCACTTACCGACTGCCTTGTTTAGTAACCATTCAAAGTTACAGTGATCTAAAAGAAAACAGCTTTGTGACCAATCCTTGCATTTACAATTGTTGCAGCATCCTGTGGTCATGTGATTGCCATTTGTGTGCTTCCCAATCAGCTTGCTCAAGCAGAGTTAATGGAAAATACAGAAGTAAAATCACAAGTCACAGTCATGTGATGTTTCACTTAATGACAGTGACTCACTTAACAACAAAATGGGAAGTGACATCATAAGCCTGTCACAGTCATGTGTTTTTTCGCTTAGTGACCACAGCGGTTAACAACAGAGTTGTTGATCCCAATTGTGGTCACCAAGCAAGGACTACCTGTAATAATAATAATAATAATAATAATAATAATAATAGGAAAAATGAAAAATAATGGATTAGATACAGTGACATCCTCTTGCATGATGGAATTTTTCCTTGCTCCAATTAGATTTTATTTTCATAACTTTTCATAATATATATTTTGATTCCTGTGTTCACTCTACTTGATCTTTATTCCTGTATCATTTTAGATTCCTCTCTGCTTTGGATATGCCATATTCATATATTACAATTGGGCCAAATATATTTCTGTGGGAATAGGGCATATTCCAACCTAATAAAAAAATTCAGGAAAGAAGAATATGATTGTAGCAATGAGTAAAGGCTGTCTCCCCTGCCCCTTGCAATGTGCTTCCCACCCATCCTTGAGACAGGAGGAAAATATACTACTTGGGAAATGACTCTCCCACAGCATTTCTCTTGCTGAACCTCAGAAATGGAGATATCTTCTCTGGCTATTGCTGCTGTGGAGCACAGAGGTCAGGAGTGGAACGCTGGAGGGTGCAGGCAGGAATCACTGTAGCAGGAGGTGGCAGAGATGTCTGGTAGCAATAGTGATTGCATGTTGTATATTCCACAAGCTCACTGTTCCTACCAGAGTCCCCCAAAATAATTAGGTGTCAGCAAGACTCTCAAATGTCTTCCAACATCAAAGCAGAAATGGCCAAGGAAGCACAGTTGGGAAGAGCAGTCCTGCAGCAGGCCAATTGAAATCCTGTAGGTCACCAAGCACTCTCTTCCCTGCAACGTAGAAAGTTTGCATAGAGAAGGACTGGTTACTTTTCTGCTGGAAAACACCAGTTTCCTGCTGGATTTTGCTGATCTGGCCTTAGCCTGCCTCAGTAGCAGGCTGGCCTTGAGGTAGAGGCTTAATTGTGAGCACATGTTCTCCACAAACAACCCATCTCAGAGCTGAGCCAAAAAGAGTACGTGGATAAGCACTAAGAAGACAAGCATTGTCCTCCAAACTTCTTTGGACACATTGTTTGACTTAATTTAAAGTTTAATCAGTGGAACACAAAACTAATATTCTTACAATAAAAAGTTCTGTAATCCTCTAATCTTGCTACTTGAATTGAATTGATCACAAAACCTAGCTTTAAAAAACACCAACTGCACTTTTTTTCTAAGTAGGGTTTTCTTTTTCTTTTTTTAAAGGATTATCTGGTTCAACTTCCAGACTCCATCAGTCATCATCAACAGTTTCATCATACTCAACACTTCGTAGAGATGCTTCCAAGGTAACATATGTTTAATTAAGGATGCCCCTTGTTTTGAACAACACTTAGTAGATGTCATTTTGGTTTAGTATTTGATAATCCATTGGAGTTTAAAATTATTCACCTAGATGGATCATTCAGATGATGTTTGCTTTAAGAGTTGCCCTGCCGCATTCACAGCTTTTTATGGGGCTTGGGGATCCAGATACTGTTCCTTCCCATTTGTCATTCTTCCATATTTTCCCACTGCTACTTCCCTCTTCCTTCTTGTTAGAAAAATAAGTTTCTTAAGGAGGGAAAGATAGAATCGCTGCATAATACCATTTGAATAGTAGCCCTAATAGCCACCTGTCTGGAAGCACCTTAAATCTTGGTTTATTCACAGCTCAAGATAAGTTTGTGGATATAGACCCCATTTTAGGTTAGGTTACAGCTTCTGTTATGTAATTGTTAATTGTATATTCTTCTGAAAAATTAGGTACCTGTAAATCATCCAAAGCGCGTCCATTGTCCAGAGGAAAATTAGAGCCAATTTTTCTATTTGATATCCTTCATCCTAGAAATTTGATCAGATATTTTTCCAAACTATACACTTTACAAACAAAGCTGACAGTTTTTCGTGGGCAGTGTGCATTGAAAGAAAAAAGTGAAAGGATAGTTCTGTCATCTTCAGCTTCTTACACTAACCTAGTTCTGTGTCAATATTGTTCATAGTAAATTAGTAAAAGTAGTTTGGAGTTATAGTAACTTCTTTAAAAGTTTTCATTAAGAACATGTTCTGTGTCATTTTCAAGGAGAGACCAAAGAGTGCCTTGGAACGTTTATACTCTGGAGATCACCAAAGAGGAAAAATGAGTGCTGAGGAACAACTAGAAAGAATGAAGCGACATCAAAAGGCAATAGTTCGTGAACGCAAAAGAACTCTTGGTCAAGGAGAAAGACACTCTGTCTCATCACGATCATTCGTCCAACCTGGTTCTGCAGACATAGGCTCAGTATGTTAGACATGCCTTAACAGGACTAGATAAAACGATTTGTAGCTTCTCTAGTAAGCACTTTTATTTGAGAGTGCATGTCACCTTGTCTTATTTAATTATATTATGGTGTTATTTCAGTAACTAGGGTGTGCATAACAGAAAATGGTTTTTAACTATATATACTGATAGTTTAACATAGGAAGTCGGAAATAAATTGGCATAAGAAAAGTATAGTGAGAAGGAAAAAATATTTTTCAATGTAGATAATGAGTTGGTCTTAGCATTTTTTTCTTGCTAGGTTATGAAAGTAGATTTTTTTTCTGATTGCACCATAAAAGAAAGAGCCCAATAGACAATATTAGCAGAGTTTAAAAAAAAATTCCCATTTCATATATCATAGTACCTATGGTTATGTTAAATAAAGACTTCATAGGTTTCTCATTTTAGGTTTTCAGAAATTTTATATATTAACTATTAAACATAGGAACATATCTAATGGAGTCATATAGTTGCTAATGCCCCTTGATCATTTATGTTTAAGGTGTGAACAATATTCTAGCAAAGCTCTCCATTCAATTAGAGAAAAATAATTTCAAATTAAGTATAAACTGACAATTATTCATTTTTGGCAACTAAGCAAATAGTCATTACCACTGCAATCATTGCTGTTTTACATATACAATAAATATATTTATATAAAAGAATATTCCATCAACGGTAACATAATTCATTTACAAGAAATAGCCATAATCCATAGAAGTTACCTGTTTATGCAGGAGAGACAATTCCATGGAAAATTACTAGGGCTGCATTTTTAATTGCCAAAAAGAGGCGGTGTTGTTGGTTGTAGAAACAGCCACTGTCTGTGATGGATGCAGTGAATGAAGCTCTTACTGCAGGTGCCATTTTCACTTAGCTGTCAAGCCTTTTTTTGGATAGTAAAATTTAGGATTAGGTTACCAAGATGTTTTCCTAAATAAGGGAATGATCTCAGATAAATTCAGTGGGATTGATTTCCTGTTCTGTCCTCAAACCACAGCATGCTTCCATCTTTTATAATTTGGAGTTACAAAAAATAAAAAAGTCAATTTAAAATTGAAATAACATACTATCCAGTTATAACCATGAAAAATTTTACTACAAAAACATCAGTATAAGTTTTACTTTTTAAAATAGCCCTAGGAGTTTAAAAGGTAGTAGGCCATGTTTTTGGATTGTGAAAAATTGGAAGTACTGTAGCTATATTAGTCTGTTACCGCAAAAACAACAAAGTTATTATGATAAGCTTTTGGGGGCTAGAGGCCAGTTCATTAAATACATAATTATCTAAGAATCAAGCTAAATAATACATTAAATATGAGAATGTATTCAGTATATCAGGTTTTGATTATTTACATAAGAAATGCATGACAGAGAGAAATCAGGATCTGACCATTCTAATAATGCCCTATCAGAAGACATCTAATTCTATGTGCTCACACACATGTACAAAACTGAGGCTAGTTTGGCCCTCAGAAATGACTATTCTGAATGTAAATATTTTTTAAAAAATAGAATGAGTCTGTGGAAGTGCAAATGGCTTATCTGCCCTTTTGATACAGTTATATGGATAAATAATGGCTGATATTGTTAGTTTCCATGATAATATTGCTCTCAGATAGAATCTCTCTTATGTACCATCCTCAAAGAAGATCTTTCCTTTTGGTAGTCATTAGTGGGAAGCTTCTTCGTTTTCTTGTAAGATAGCCCCATTCCCAGTTTTAAGTAAGAACCAACTCGGAACACTGTGTCATAAACAACAGTGTTTCACATTGATTTGATTGTCTCCCTCTTTTTATTGATACATAATCAGCCTGAATCAATCCATTGGAGGATGAAGGCCTTTTCATTAAAGGTTGTGGGCATAGTCTGACCTGCTGGTCCACTGTGGGATGTACAAGAGATAGATGTTTTTCAACTTCCCAGGCTAGGGCTGAGAGAAAGGGTCTGTCTCATCGTCGCTCTGACAGCTTCCATGCCTATAAGGAAGGACTACAAGCTGAGTCACTCCTAGTCTAGCCCCTTCACCACAACACCATGTGGCTCCCATTCATTCATAGTCTATTCTTTAAAGGCCTAACACTTTGAACAGGGAAGAAACTTACTGGTCTCATCTTTTTTTAAAAAAAAATAAGCAAATAATGTTACTCTTTTCCCTCATTGTTTGTAAGATAGGCTATGATCTGTGAAAGTTAGTCTTTAAAGTGCCACAGTCTAAATAAGACTTTTTCGTATTTAGGGTTTTTAAAACTGAGAGTTTACACAATCACTGTTTTGTCTTCTCTTTTTGGCATACTAGAATTATGCTCATCACCTGCCTAATTCATTGCACAAGATCTCTTGCTTTTAAAGTCACTCATCATACATAATGGCTTTTTTTAGCTTCTAATTATTTAAACTATTTCTAACTAAACTCAGTTTCTGCCAGGCTTAATTGCATTTTAGTATCCTTTTTGTTAAATTTCTGTTTTTGTTGGCGGTTATTGACTTTTCACCTTTGTGTTCCCATTTTAAATAGTTGTTTGGTTGCACTAATTTACAAGGCACTCATGAGCCATTAACTTAATAAATATACATGTAAACACTTAAAGGAAACTGGTGCATTCAGATATTTACCTTTGCAGTTATTTTTTTTAAGAAATAGTATTAAAACATGAGGAAAAATAAAGCCCCGCTATATCACTTAAGTAGCAGAATTTGAACCTGATTTTTAAAAAACCATATGGCTCTTAAACTTATAATTATTTCTAATGCAAACATTTCATAACATTTTAACAGTTGAAACAATGTAACATTTTCATACCATATTGGTCTTCATTCTTGCTGTAAAAATAAAAATAGCACAGCCCAGGAAAAAAAACAAATCCTCATTTATCCAAAGGGCTCCAGTGCACAAAAAGTAATGTTTGAAAGCACAATTTACAGCATGACAATAACTTAACAGCCAAAATGGTAAAAATGAAATATGTAATTAGATTGCACAATTTGTAACATTACATAAATTGTATGTGTAAATCTACTTTTAATACAGTGCACTGATATTTTTTTAAAAGATCAATTTTTAAATGTAGTATGACATTAAAATATTGAGCAGAATATTTGGATTGTCATTTAATTTTGATGTAAAGGACTCCGTATCAACACCAATAAAATTGCTTCCCAATACTGAATTCATGTATTTCTTCTAATATAACATGTAGAATTAATATTGCTTTATATTATGTTTATGGATGCAATCAGGCCTGGCTTGAATATTGAGTAGACATCTGGTTACAGTGTGCTTTAACTGTGAAGATGATTGAACTTTTCCCCAGAAACTCTTCCTTTTTAAAGTCTGCAATTTTTATTTGTCCAGTTGCCTTCGAATTAAGCAAATGCTTCTATTCCTAACAAATACAAATATAGGTATGTTTTGAGTGAAAAACCAAGAGCTTGTGCATGAATAATATATTTTTCTCCAAAACAATTTAGACTGGATCCACAAGGTAGCTTTTGTGCAAACAGAAGGGTTCCTTGACTGATACTTAAGGGAGGTTGTGGCTGGAGTAAGTGGGAGAAGGTAAGCTCCACTGGGTCTCCTGCATTGTTCTAGAAGGAATCTCAGTACTGTAAATGTGGGCTACATGAGAAAGGAGGAAACAGTCAAAATCAATTCCCCCTTTTTCATCCAGTGGGAAAATCCTGAGTGGAATTCTGTTCTTGGATATTCATGATACAGAGTGTGTTGAATCAAAAAGTTGGGGGGGAAAGGTCTTCTACTGTGCAAATGAAAGCTTATGCAGTAACACATTTTTATGTGATCAGTGAAACAATAATATTAATGCCATTCGAGTGCTATGCCTTCATGACAAGTGGGGCAGGATGTCCAAGTAGATAGGATATTGTTGTCTGGCTTTACAAGATATATGTTATTGAATGAGAGTGTAAATGATCCAGTTGTAACAGACTGTGATCCCAAGAGCTATTATGCGTTTTCTAACCCATGCAGACATGAGACTACGCTTTCTTTTGCTTTGGAACAAAGGCCTATTTGTTGTATCACAAACATATTCTGAAACTTACCTATTTCAGAAGTTATCATGATAGAAGATTTGTTTGAACAACCCAATGCCCGGAGGTCCAGCTCCATAGGGGATGTTTTCTGTAGCCTTTGGATTGAAATAATGCAGCTGAGGAGGAAAATACATTTAACACATTTGCAAATTTATATGTCAAAAATCCCTCATATTTCATTCAGGCTGTCCTTTATTTTATAGTAAAAGATACCTTTGAAATACTTGTAAATAAATGAAATACTTTATTTCTGTATGAATGTTGTATAGTTAGCATATCTTAGTTGGAGAATGGCTTTATAGGACACCTGAAACTTAGATTATTCTAATAAAAAAATGTACAGTAATATAAAATTGGAAGTAATCAACACATTTCATGTATATTTGTTATTTATGGTAATTCTGAAATTAATTCCTTTCTGTCATATTTTGAAGCTATTCAGTGGTTCTGTAAACAATTGTAAATTTGTCAGTTTACATTGTGCTAAAGTTCTACCCTTCTTGAAAAAGCTAAAATGTATTTCTAGCATGGAGTGCTTGTAAATAGTAAGAAATGTAAAACATAGTGACAGACATATATTATTTAATTTTAGCAGATAGTTTTCTAAACTACATAATATATGAAGCAAAACTACAATCCAAAATGCCAGTTTGAAATGTTGATGTGCTTCATAATTTTTATAAGAAGTTTAATAGAATAACAGCAGAATCTTTTCCCTAGATGGTTGGCTTGCAGGAGTTAAACACTTTCTACAACCAGCAGTTATTTAATTAGTCCTTTTTAAATGAGTCCTTGCAAGAAAGCTCTTACTTCCCAGTTCTAACTGGAAAATTTGCCCTTTCAGCTTCATTAGGACTTAGTTTCAGCTAAGTTTGTTTTGTTGCATGGAGGAAGCTAAGTCTAGGAGTTTTGTTGTTTGGAGCCTC